CGGCCCTCATGTGTCTTAAAAAGAGGGGTGACTCTGATGTGGGGTCATGCTTGAAACTGAGAGGACGAGGTCCCCGACTCTCCATTGCAGCCAGCTCTCTCTGGAACTAATAGAGTGAGAACTCGCTCATTGCCAAGGGGAGGGCACCCCCATGACCCAAACAACCCCGACCAGGCCCACCTCCAACACTGATTACATTTCAACATGAGATTTGGAGGGTTAGACACCCAAACGGCATCAGATACATTCATGTTTAAGCAGTCTGTCCCCAGAACTCTTTTCAGCCTGCAGATCTGAAACTCTAGCCCACAAAACACCAACTCCCCTCCCCCGCCCCTGGTGCCCACCGTTGTTTCTGTCACTGAATTTGACTCCTCTAGGGACCTCCTAGAAGTGGAATCACATGATATTTGTCCTTTTGTGATTGGCTTATTTCACCAAGCGGAATGTCCTCTAGGTTCACCTGCGTTGTAGCAAGTGTCAGACTTTCCTCCCTTTTGAAGGCTGAGTAATAGTCCGTTGTGTGGATGGACCGCGCGTTGTTTATCCACTCACCTGTTGACCCGGGCCTGGGTTGTCGCCACCTTTTGGCCTGTGTGAATGGTGCTGCTGTGAACGTGGGTGGAGAAATATCCGGGTCCCTGCCTTCAGTTCTTTGGGGTGTAGACCCAGAAGTGGGCTTGCTGGGTCATGTGGTAAATCCTATTGTTGATTTTTTGAGGACCCACCGTACTGTTTTCGGTGGGACATGTGTTGGTTTTTGAAAAGCACCTGCTGGCACTGACAGCCGTCTTGGGGAACACAGCTGCTCCTGCCGGAGTCCTCATGCTCTGCTCACGTTGCAGAAGCCCCCCTGGTGAGGCCAGCTGGCCGGAGGACCACCCCACAGACCACACACCCAGGGCCTGGCACCGAGGGGGAGACCCCGATCAGCAGGTGAAGTCGACACCCTGATGACGCTGGCCAGTTCACCTTCACTCTGGTCATTTACCGTACCCTGGAGCAGCTCCTGCTTGAGCGCTATGACCCCAACCACTGCAGCCTCTGGTAAGGCCTGGGCACGGGGCACACAGGGAGGGCCCATTCCAGAGGCTCCTAAGGCTTCCACAAGTCAAAATCCTGATCCTGATCAAGCACAGGTCTTCACAGTGACATTTCACCATGACCCTGGCCCAGAGACAGAGACCACTGCCCCGTGGTGTCCCTTGGAGGGAGGTTCTGGGTCTGCCACAGGACACCACACCCTGGAACATTGCACACCCTTTGCCTGGCCTTATCCCAGGGTTTCTGTCAGAAATGCCCCCTCCCCGGCATACACCCCATCTTGTGCCCCGAGGGACTCCGTTCTCTCCCCACACACCCGACCCGAGGCTGTCGTGGGTAGTGCCTGCTGCTGGCCCCGGGGCTGGGGCTGCTCAGCCAGTCCTGGCTAGAAAGGATGAATGTCCCAGAAGCAGCTTTGTGGCCTGCTTGGTGCGAGCAGCCCGAGGCTCTGCCCTTCCTCCTCCTGCCATTTCCCACTTCCCTGGCTCTGGGTCCTCGTGTTCACGTTGTTCTCAGTGACTGGGTGATTCACCCCCCTGAGCTGTCATTATTTTGGTGTCTTTTGCTGGACATTTAAGCCATTCCCTGTGTTTCTGCCATTAGCTATTATGGGCTGTAACATCTTTGCACCTGTGCCTTCTTTCTTTTTATATTTCTGAAGTACCAATTTGACCCAAAGGTGACACATCTCCCTGTGTGTCCTGTCAGTGATAAAACCTGCTCTGAGGATGAAGATGCCGCGGGGCCCATGGGTCCAAGCTCTCAGAGCATGATTCTGTCTCCCCTAGAAACACATCCATGGCATGTCCTCAGTACACTTGTGCGTGGGATTAAGCAAATGTTTCCTAATCATGTTCGTCCCTGTGCTCTGGCTTCTTGACCTCAGGCTGCCTCACTGGTCCATCATTAATACCCCGATGGTGAGCATGCTGGTATACAGTGAACGGGCTCTGCTCCCGAGACCCCTGGAGAGGCCTGTCCTGGTAGAGTTCACCCTGCTGGAGATGGAGAAGCGAACCAAGCCCGTCTGCGTGTTCTGGAATAATTCCCTGGTGTAAGTGTGACGCCGGGAGCCCTGCGTCTCTATGTGAGGGCTTTGCCAAGGCAGAGAGAACCTGCAGGGTCGGAGGCTCTGTGGCACAGCGTCCCACAGGGACAGTCTCTTGTGGTCTGTGTCTCCCATCTCAGCCCCCCATGGGGCAGTGAGCCTCCTGCTCTGCTTCTGTGGGAGCATCAGAGCCCCCCAGATGCCCCCACACAGACGCGCACAGACCTGCATGTGGAGACGCAGATGTGCTGCACGGTTTATGTGAGGTGTGGACTTACTTGAGTTACTCTGTCTTTACAGGGAGCTTGCTTTTTCTCTGCTGGTTTGTTTTCACGTTTGCTGTCTCTGTTTAGAAGAAAACGTTAGAACTGGGGTGTGGTAGGAGGATGGGAGCACGATCTGGGAGGGGAAGACCTGCTGTCCCTCCACATACCAGGAGGGAGTGGCAGGAAGGGGAGACGCTGCACCGGACAGGGAGTCAGAGCGTGAGCACCCCCAGGCTCGAATCTGCTGAACGTTGTGCATCTGGGGGCGCCCGTGCAGCAGGAACACTCTCCCCATCACAATTCCTCTGGCAACAGTGGAGAGCTGTGAGTGGGGGCTGTCCTGGGCACTGTGCTATGGTGAGCGAGCGCACGCCAGGAGCTCGTTCAGCCCAGCCTCGTTCTCCTCCTGCTTCTGTGCTTTCCAAGTTCTAGTTAATAAGCAACCAGCACGGTACCTCGAATGTAATAGGCGCTTGTCTTATAAAAGAGAGAATAAAGGAACCCCTTTCACCACGAGGGACATCAGGCCCAGCTCTCTGTCCCGGGTTTCCATCTTTGTTCTGGCAATTAGCTCCAGCTCTAATGACCTGCTCTCTGCTTTATGTTGCACCTATTATTTCCAGATTGTAAAGTTGGTGGCAAATGTACTAACGTTCACATCCCATTTACAGATTAGCATACTAAGGATCTGAGAGGTTACGTGACTTTCCTAGAGTCCGGTGGGGGGGGCAGGGCCCTGTCTGAAGCTGAGACACACGTCGTAACAGCTTGTTATTTGGGGCTTCCCATCAGTGAGGCGGGAGTCATCGTGGGGCCCTGGCTTCTGGGCAGTTCCCATAGAACATTGTGCAATCTGAAGATGGAAGTGTCAGAGGAAGGTGAGATGTTATTTCTGAAAGATCTGCCCTCAGAAGGAGACAGGAGTGCATCGCAGCCGTGTGAACCCCAGGCGGTGGTTCCAGCAGCAGGGCATGTGGTGGACGCGAGAGGACCACGTTTGAGTTTTGCTGCTAGATGACACATAGAAGTTGAACTTCAGAGGGTGCTCCTTGGAGGCCCTGACCAGACACAAAAGGGAAGGGAGACTGTTCCCATGGTCCTGCCTCTGTGGCAGCAAGCCTGCTGTTCTTGCAGCCAGGTGGCTGTTCGGTGCAGGGGGCCGGTGAGGAACACGATGGGGAGCAGAATGCGAGTGTGCCGGGCTTTCAGCACTCACGTTACCTGCTGTTTGGTTTGGCCAGGATGGCCTGGGAGTCCCCAGGGCTGGGCAAAGACTGCCCCCAACAGACTCATGGGTGGAGGGAACTGTCTCTCCCCCGCCCCTTCTCCCTTCTCTCTTCTCTACGCAGTGTCAGTGGGATGGGAGGGCGGTCTGCCCGGGACTTCGAGCTCCTGTCCGGGAACTGGACACACGTTGCATGCCAGTGCAGCCACACAGCCAGCTTCCAGGTGCTCATGGACATCTCCAGGTATGAGGTGGGCATCCTCCTGTGGCCACTATGCCCACTGAGCCTACCCCCAAACCTGCCCCTCCTCAATCTACATCTTGCATTGTAAGCGCCTAGAACAAAGCAAATCAACCGATTAAAAAAATATATTCCAGGATTGGCCAGAGTCTTTGATGATTTTCGTAACAAAGCGAAAGGGTTTTCAGAGAGCCCTGGTTGTGCATTAAACCCCGGGATGGCAGACCCAAAACTCAGGCTCCGAGGAGCTCCTGGAGTCTGCCCCTCGCTTCAGAGCTGGTCTGTGCAACGGTGCCGCTCTCCACCGCTTTGATCGCTTTGATCGTAAGGAAGGTGACAGCTGCTGGGGATGGTAGGTGCTCTCCCTCAGGGCCACATGCAGGGCCACAGGATAAAAGGCTGGGCAGCTGATGTTTAACCTCCAGCATTTTAAGCAGCCTGGGAGTGTGAGTCGGCCATTGTGGGCCTGCAGATTAATTGGGGAGTGGACCGAGTGCTGTTCTGTTATCCAGCCAGGAAGTGGATGGGAGCCAGCCTGGGCGTGGCCTACGTGGGACCCGGTGTCTAGGAGTCAGAACCAGAGGCCTGGGTGGCCTCCCCGGCCCCTCCCCGGGGCTGTGCTGTAGCTCAAGGGCCCAGGCCACTGTCCTTCCCGAGGGCTTTCTGATATGAAGTGGCCCTGGTTTCTGTCATATTCTTGGAAGGGTGAGTCAGCCCTGGGGCAGGGCTGGAGGAGGGCTGTGGCCTTTTGTGCAACGTGCAGGTGAAGCTGCCCTGCCTGTGCCCCCGTCTCATGGGCAGATGGCACTCCCCAGCAGGACCCATCTGGAAAGGGGTCCGTGATTAGCGGACTTTGTTCATACAAGGGTGGGGTTGGGAGTTGTCTCATGGCCAGGATGCCGGGCGACATCTGGGCCAAGGAAGCTGAAATTGAGGCAGAAGGAAGGAGGCTGGAGTGGGAGTCTGAGGCTCCTATGGCCCCGGCGCCCCAAAGCCAGTGGTCTCTGAACAGCCCCGAGCCAGTGGAGGGAGGCTGTGGTGCTGCTGCTGGCCCCAGGGACGCCCAGGGTCCAGGTCATTGAAGGGGCCTCAGGAGGGGCAGTTCCAGGCCCAGGGCCATGAGCACTTGGCCTCCCTGGCCCAGCCAGATCTTGCCTTCCCAGCTCATAGTTCCACATGGTAAGCAACACCTTCCAGAAGTTACCCGAGAACCAGAGCTTGTCGTTCCCCAAATGCAGAAACTCCCCAGGGACCTGGGTCCTGGACAAGTGTCCTGGTTTGTGAAAGCACAGGAAACACAGCAATGTGAACATACACACTGCTGAACTGTGCACTTCAAAGTGGCCAAGATGATATGTTTTATGTCATGTATATTTTAGCACAACTTTCCTTTTTTGTTGTTGTTGTTGTTGTTGTTTTTGTTTTGTTTTTTGAGACAGAATTTTGCTCTTTTCGCCCAGGCTGGAGTGCAATGGCGAAACCTTGGCTCACTGCAACCTCCGCCTCCTGGATTCAAGTGATTCTCTTGTGTCAGCCTTCCAAGTACCTGGGATTACAGGCTTCAGCCACCATGCCAGGCTAATTTTTGTATCGTTAGTAGAGATGGGGTTTCACCATGTTGGCCAGGCTGGTCTCAAACTCCTGACCTCAGGTGATCCCCCTGCCTCGGCCTCCCAAAGTGCTAGGATTACAGGTGTGCACCACTGCACCCAGCCTGTTTTTAAAAGACATGTTCACTGCCCATAAGAAATGCATAATAAGGTTGGGTGTGGTGGCTGACACCTGTAATCCCAGCACTTTGGGAGGCCGAGATGGGCAGATCATTTGAGCTCACAAGTTTGAGACCAGCCTGGGTAACATGGCGAAACCCTATCTCTACCAAAAACACAAAAATTAGCCAGGCATGGTGGTGCATGCCTGTAGTCCCAGCTACTTGGCAGGCTGAGGTAGGAGGATGGCTTGAGCCTAGGAGGCGGAGGCTGCAGTGAGCTGAGATTGCACCTCTGCAACAGAGCCAGACCCTGTCTCAAAATAATAAGGGATCTGGAATTTAAAAAGTAAGACCATATAACGAGCTATAATAGAGACATGCGCAGCTGGCACAGGACATCCATCCACTGGTGATAATGATAGAACACATCATATTGCGGGATAAGTAGGAAAAACAGAACGGATGGGAAGGGTGCGGATGACCAGCGCCATAGCAATCCGAAGCATTGAGCCTGCCAGTCCGCATAACTGAAACCTGAAGCTCTGCCCCTGCCCAGCTCTGTGACCTCCGGCAAGTTGTTCAGCTTCTTTAAGCAAGCGTTGATTTTCTCACCTGGAAGATGAGGGTCGCACTCACACTCTCCTCATAGCTGTGATCTAAGGATGATATGAAACGACGCCCTTGGCAGGTCTATCAGAACCCCCACCACATAATAAGTGCTCAGTAAAAGGTTTTGCTGAACAAAGGAAATTACATTCATGTTGTATTACCACAATTACCCACTTTCTTTGTAAAGCGGGAGTAGGTCTTTCAGCCAAAAGAATAAGTCCAGGATGGGATTAAGTGGAAGTCCAAGCAGCACTGCGTGCACCTGCAATGGAGATGTGTTTATGTTTTGCATAAGCCAAGGATGTATTTGGAAGGTTTCTGCCAGCCCAGAATTTTGGGTGGACAGGCTGAGCCTCTCCCGACAGCAGGATTCACTTGTGGGGTTTGTTTTGGGTAGACAGGCTGAGCCTGTCTCGTGGAGCTGTAGGAGCTCGAGACGGCATTTCGTTTGGGGAAGGAGCTCATCCAGGAGGACTGGGATCTCTGGTTATATGTGACTTCTGACCTCTGGGGATGGAGGTCTCTCTGTAGAGGCCCGGGCCTGGGCACGAAGGGAGAGAGGCCTCCATTGTTCCGCAGGGGTCTAAATGCAGATGGTGCATCCCCAGTGTTCTCAGGGACCCTTCTCTGATCATCAGGATTCTTCTGGACCCTGGGGTCCTCGTCCTGCTCAGGCATCCCTGCCATGCTCTCCCTGAGGGCCATCAACACGGTCTTCTCTGGACAGGAGCCTGGCGCACAGCCGGGTGTTGTGGGCCCCAATGGGGTGACTGCCTGCTCCTGGGCCCCACAGTTAGTCCTTGTGCTCAGTGCACTGGCTGAGCTGCAGGACACCCTGGAATTGGGAGCACACAGTGCTGGCTTGCTGTGGTACCTGTGCATTCAAATTGAAGGCAGGATGGCCAGCAAGGAACACAGGGCTTGCAGGATCACGGAAAAACCCTTGGAGTTGTCATGGCACACCACTGATGCCAAGTGTACACCACTGGTGCCAAGTGTCCGGGTGCTTGTAGGATGGCCTGCCACTCCGTCCAGGGGCGGGAGCAACGGGGAGATCCCACACGCAAAGTGAACTGGGGGATGGGGTGGGCGGGCTCCAGGCAACTGAGCCCTACTGGCAGGTCCTTGCCTCCCAGGCCGGGACAGGAATGAGGGGCACAGAGTGCCCAGGTAACCGCTCCTGGGAACAGTGGGGAACTATTGGATACTCAGACTCTCCAGAGCTGGGCTCTGAGCATCCTCGTGGAGCTACCAACTAGGTCAAAGGCTAAGCGAGCAGTTTCTTCTGTTGCCAGGCAACACTCTGAGCGAGTGGGTGCGTGTGCAAAGAACGGGTGCAAGTGACAGAGCGACCTTAACAGATTAGCGCGGCAAGGTATGCATGCAAGTCACCTGCTGGCAATGTGGGGGTAGGGAGGGGGAGGCGCGCAATACTACTGGAGGGAGAGGCACGCGCACAAAGGACTTGGGAAGAACAGGTGCGCACAATAACATAATGGCTGCAGATCTGCCCGTGGATCACTGAAGATTCCTGCTCTTCTGCTGAGGCGGAGATTGCAGTGAACTGAGATCACACCATTGCACTAGAGCCTGGGTGACAGACCAAGACTCGGTCTCAAAAAATAAATAAAATATGTACAATAAAATCACAAAATAAAATAAAGTAAGGGGAGATGACATCTGGTCATGTTTTAGTGCTGTCTGGTGGGGAAGATTCTTCCCTTTGGTTTTGTTGCCAATCAGTGATTTGAAAGAAGCAATTTACTCTTGGCTTGTTTTTCCCCTCAACTAAATGTAAGAAAAAAAAAGAGTCGGCCGGGTGCGGTGGCTCACGTCTGTAATCCCAGCACTTTGAGAGGCCGAGGCGGGTGGATCACAAGGTCAGGAGATTGAGACCATCCTGGCTAACACGGGGAAACCCCATCTCTACTAAAAATACAAAAAAAAAAAGAAAAAAAAAATTGCCCAGGCATGGTGGTGGGCGCCTGTAGTCCCAGCTACTCAGGAGACTGAGGCAGGAGAATGGCATGAACCTGGGAGGTGGAGCTTGCAGTGAGCCGAGATCGTGCTACTGCACACCAGCCTGGGCAACAGAGCGAGACTCCGTCTCAAAAACAAAAAAAACAAAAAAAAGAAAGAAAAGAGTCAAAAATACTGAAGCTAATTTTAAAATGTATATATATAGAGGGACATGGTCTTACCTTGTTGTCCAGGCTGGAGTGCAGTGGTGCCATCACAGCTCAGGGTAGCCTCGACCTCCTGGGCTCAGGCAATCCTTCCACCTCAGTCAACCAGATAGCTGAGACTACAAGTATGGGACGCCACACCCAGCTAATTTCGTGTATTTTTTGTAGAGTCGGGGTTTCACCTTGTTGCTGAGGCTGGTCTCCAACTCCTGGGCTCAAGCAATCTTTCTGCTTCTGCCTCCCAAAGTGTTGGGGTTATAGGCATGAGCCGCCATGTCCCGCCTAAATATTTTTGAGATTCATAGAGATGAGTAGGCCATAGTAACAGTTCACAACTTGTAGTCATATTTAATATCTTTATATATTTAATCGGCCACCCCCATTGTAATTTAAATGATTTGTTCCTGACCTGGTTTTATGTCGTTGGTGAGGGTTGCAGATCCCTTGAACAACATTCCATGAATGAGGCAGTGATAATAAGCCTGCAGCTGCCCGAGGGGGCGCTGTGCGGAGGTTCACAAAGGGACCTGGTGCTCCGTGGTGCGGATGGGGCGAAGACTCCATTCTGCTTTCTGACACCGCCACCGTGGGGCCAGGCTTGATGTGACCCCATCACTGCTCAGTTCACTACACAGTTGCATCTTTTGATACGGAAGACTTGACTCCATCCACGTTCCTTAGGAGGTTACTGGAAATGACAGCGCTGTAAATTCCTCTGTAAATGAGCAGCCAACAGTTTTGGGAGCTGTCACACATCCACGCTGCCTTTCCCTCTGCCTGAAAACCTTTAGGCCCGATTGACCCGGAGAAAACCCATTAAACTCAGCCCCCACTGACTTGTTCATTCCCACTCAAACGTTTCTGACAGTCCCAACACGAGGCTTGTCCTCCAAGGGACAACTTGTAAACACTTCTGAGAAAGAGGGTTGACTGGGCTCGGTGGTTCATGCCTGTAATCTCAGCACTTTGGAAGGCCGAGGCGGGCAGATCACCTGAGGTCAAGAGTTTGAGATCAGGCCATGATCTTGGCTTGAAGAGGCAAGACCCCAAGTTTATTGAACACTTTAAGCCCACTCCTTGATCCATGAGCTGCAGAATGGATGTTGTATTAGCAAAAATGAAAACAACTTTTATCTCCTTGTATCATCATTAGAGCTCCTGGCAGACTGGTTACATTTTCAAGGAGCAGTAATTTTTTGAAAGGAACAGTGGGCTTAAAGTGTTCAATAATCGGCCAGGCGCGGTGGCTCACGCCTGTAATACCAGCACTTTGGGAGGCCAAGACGGGAGGATCACGAGGTCAGGAGATCGAGACCACCCTGGCTAACACGGTGAAACCCCGTCTCTACTAAAAATACAAAAATCAGCCGGGCGTGGTGGTGGGCGCCTGTAGTCCCAGCTACTCGGGAGGCTGAGGCAGGAGAATGGCGTGAACCCGGGAGGCGGAGCCTGCAGTGAGGTGGGAGATCGCACCACTGCACTCCAGCCTGGGCGACAGAGCAAGACTCCGTCTCAAAAAAAAAAAAAAGTTCAATAATCTATGCTGTCAGCAGATGTGCTATCATCCAGGCTTTGTTGTTTCATTTACAAAGCACAGGCAGAGTAGTGCAGCATAACTCTTAAGTGCCCTAGGATTGTGGGACTGGTAAATGAACATTGGCTTCCACTTAAAGTCACCAGCTGCTTAGCCCCTAATGACAGAGACAGCCTGTCCTTTGAAGCTTCGAAGCCAGGCATTGACTTCTCCTCTGTAGCTATGAAAGTCCTAGGTGTCATCGTCTTTTAATAGAAGGCTGTTTTATCCTCATGGAAAATTGTCGTTTAGTGTGGCCACCTTCATCAGTGATCTTAGCTAGATCTTCTGGGTAGCTTTCTGCAGCTTCTGTATCAGCACTTGCTGCTTCACCTTGCACTTGTATGTTATGGAGATGGCTTCTTTCCTTCAATATCATGAGCCAACCTCTGCTAGCTTCAGACTGTTCTTCTGCAGCTTCGTCACCAATCTCAGCATTCGTAGAATTGAAGAGAGTTAGGGCCTTGCTGTGGATTCACCTTTGGCTTAAGGGAATGTTGTAGCTGGTTTGACCTTTTATCCAAGGCACGAAAACGTTCTCCATATCAGCAATAAGGCTGTTTTGCTGTCTTATCACTTGTATATTCATTGGTGTAGCATTTTTAATTTCCTTCTAGAACTTTTCCTCTGCATTCACAACTTGGCTAACAGGCCTAGCTTTCAGCCTTTTGGCTTTTGCCATGCCTTTCTCAATTAGCTTAAGCATTTCTAGATTTGGATTTAAAGTGAAAGATGTGCGAGTCTTCCTTTTACTTGAACACTTAGAGGCCTTTGTAGGGTTATTAATTGGCCTAATTTTAATATTGTTATGTCTCAAGGAATAGGGAGGCCCAAGGAGAAGGAGAAAGACAGAATGGCTGGTCAGTGGATCATTCAGAACACACAGAACTTTATAGATTAAGCTCACTGTCTTATATGGGCACAGTTCATGGCACCCCAAGACAATTACTATAGTAGCATTAAAGATCACTGGTAATACATCACCATAACAGTTATAATAATAATGAGAAAGTTTAAAATATTGCAAGAATTACCTAAATTGACCCAGAGACATTGAAGTGAGCACATACTGTTGGCAAAACGGTACCAACAGATTAGTTTGATACAGGGTTGCCGCAAACCCTCAATTTGTAAAAAACGCAGTATCCATGAAGCACAAGAAGGTGAAGTACAATCTGAGGTGCATCTGCATTTTCTTCCACATCATTAGGTGTCTTCTTATAACCTAAGTTTTAAATTTTCCTAGACAATAACTTAAATAATTTTAGAACATTATAAATTACTTCTCCCTTGAAGGATCGCTTGTGCTTAGGAGTTTGAGACCAGCCTGGACAACATAGTGAGATCTTCTCTCTACTAAAATTAAAAAAAAAAAATAGCCAGGCATGGTGGCAATCCTCCCACCTCAGACCAGCTACTTGGAGGGCTGAAGCAGGAGGATTCCTTGAGCCAGGAAGTTGAGGCTGCTGTGAGCCATTATCACGCCACTGCACTCCTGCCTGGACAACAGCGCAAGACCCTGTCTCCAAAGGGGAAAAAAAAAATTACTTCCCCTTTGATTATAGAACTTTGAGATGTATCAAGTTGATTAAATGGAGATAATTCAGGCATTAAGTATTTAATGCCTCTTGTGTTCTTCTAGTTTAAGTTCTACGATTCTATGATCTTAAGATATTTACCTTAATATGTAGAGAGAATATATATATGCACACAAATTAATTATTTCAATTAATAATTTGAAGTTTTTTTCCATTTACTTGGTACTTAAAAATGCAAGGAGAAATATGATATAGGATGGTTAATCGTACATAAGGAAAATTCTTTTTGTACACTTGACAGTCTTTGCTACAAGTCCAATTCTCTGCTTTCTCACTTCCTTTGGACACTTCTTTGGTGATATATACGTATGGCTTGGGGGAGGCGTTTGGCTTTTGTTTCCTGTAAGACAGATATCTAAGTTCCATAGATATCTGTTCCTTCCCTTTAGAAGCAAAGAGAATACTGGTTATTTTATTGCAAGATCTGTAAGTTAAAATTGGACAATCTGAAATGCATAATCTTTTGCTTTTTGAGACGGAGTCTCACTGTCGCCCAGGCTGGAGTACAATGGT